TCTGTTTAACTTTTACCGAATCGGATATTTCGTCGAATTATTCCGTTCACTGGTTTACTGATTTGCCGCAAAAAAAGATTTAAAACCAAATGTCGTTTTGAAGATTGATTGCTTTATTTGATTAGCTTTGTTGAATACATGCATAAGATATCTTTAACTGAAGTTTTGTCTTTTATACCGTGTCGTGTAGCTAAGAAAATAAGAATACTCGAACTTGCATATTCGGCACCAAAACTAAATAATTCGCCCAATACAAATGATAAAGATGCCGAATACGCCGAATACCGAACACCAAACTAATTTCGGTGCATTTCTAGTAAAAACCTAAAAGACTTCTCGGTGGTGTGATTTTGAATTAATTTTCTAACAGGTTTTATACCTTTTTTGTAAATAGTAATATATAAAGTCGCTTCCCGCCGTCTGCACGCTGAGGTCTTTTAAACTACACAATGGATTTTAATGTGGTGTTCGACAATGTAGAGAGAAAAGAAAGTGTCATGTGTATAATTAATACAGGCCCAAGCGGGCAAAGCTGCTAGCGGAAAGCTATAAAATAATAATATTTTCCTTGCATTCTGAATGTGAATAAGACAAATCCAAAAACTTCCATATGCATATTGTAATATTTCGATAAGGAGCACGAAAATCATTCGGAAACGACAAGGGCGCCTAACTCTCGTTATATGTCTAGTTAAAGCTACAAGAAAAGTTTTTATTGATTTTATTAATAATTTTGTTGATAATCTTTTATAAATATGTTTGTCATTTTTTATATATTAAATTAAATATTTTGGTCATTTTCCTTTACGAAATATTTTTTTTCTAATTCGATTTTTATAAAATTTAACTTATACAGTTCAGAGTGGCAAGTGTAAGTTTTACGCTAACGCGTTCACTAGTGAGCGCGTTAAGAATTTGTATGGAGATTTGTAGTTCTTGGTAGTTACCGCTAGGGGCGCTGTACCGGATTCCATACTAAAATCTTAACGCGCTCACGATCGACAGTGAACGAAAACGTCAAAAAAACTTACACTAAGCGCTCAGTAAACTACAAAAACCAAAACTTATTAAATATCTGAAACATTAATTAAATTTGTACATAATAATACAAGAGCAGTTTAAAGAATGTAAGCCTCCCTATTGATAAAACCAATAAAACTATGGCTTTTTTTTATAGATATGGCTAGAGTTATTGCGGGACTGAGGGGTAGCTCTGAGACTAAAAATATATGACCTTGTGGACTAGAAGATAGGAGGGCAAGATGAAAGGGCTAACTTTGTGTAGTAATAAAATAGAAAAAAGACTATTATTTATATTGTTCTTTAATAATGAAAATTAAATAATGAAAACAAGTTTCTAATTATAACTATAAGACGAAAATGAGTATAATTTGTAAAATAAAACCCTGTGGAATTCCATTTTGCCCTCATCGTTATAATTACATTAACATATCTAAAACCTAACGTATATTTTGTATCAAACCGTATAGGTACTCGATTTGTACTACATATTTACGCCCAAAGCAAAGTAATCTTGTTTCTTAAGTACTTACTTATTTTTAGCAATTAATGCAGAGGCATTTGCAATTTTTTAAATTTTTTGCTATCAAATAAATACATATTTTACTGGTATTGGTTGGCTGGTGCTGATTAATCGGAAAAAATTTCAAATTCAAATAAAAAATTAAATTAAGTTTGCTTTAGCTTCATTTTTCGAAATACAGTTGTTTTTTTATTTGATTTTTTATCGCGCTATCAAAAATTATAACCTATGAATTGAAACTAGTTTAAATTCCGAATGATTTGTAAACTTAGACAACTAAAAAATAAAAGTCGTTCAAATTTCGAACACGTTTTTAATTTCGATAAATAGAAATCCAAAATGAGCATAAATGTTTTACTACATACACTTGTAATATTGTGTTCTAAACGCAAAACGTAAGAAAGAATTTGATAACTTATTTGTAGTATAAAATAATTCAAAACTTTCGAATTTATATATGATATCCCTGCTAAGCCTGGAATTCGTAACGAGAATGAAGCGAATGACACTAGCCCCTACTCAATTAACCCCAATTTAAACTCATTTGTGCATTGTGCCAGAATCTTTTACTTTTTTTAAAGATTTCATTACATTACGAACTTCATTCGAATTCATGGCAATTTTTTAACTGTGATAACTTAATTATTCTATAAGTTGAACTATCGTTTATTGCTATTATATACCAAATATTTGTCAAAAATACATTATTCTATTAAAAAATAGGCTAGAACTCAACGTCGATGTAACAGCGTAGACCTTTTATGAAATAATACCTTTTGAAGCAGTTAAAAGATATTGTATATTTGATTGAACCTCTATACTATGGTAGCACAGTGTTCGACGTCGAAGTCAAGACTGTTTTTAAATTAGAACTGCAGATACAGGTAGACATAATTTTTAAGCGGTTTTCTAATATGTCACGTTATATTTTCCAGAATGATTAAACTTTACCTATATTATTAATTCTCAATATATATAACTTTCTACTCTACTTTCTGTTTTGATTTAAGGAGCTAAAAAGTGGGTTATTAAAGATATCTAAAATAAATTGTTATATCTTTGTTACTGTTTATTTTTGGACGATTGAAATATTATTAAAATTATTTACAGTTATTATGATAATATTACTGAACCGTTGCATAACGGATACGAATATTACTTCCTTAAAGGTTTGGAGTGAAAATTACGCATTACAGATGTTGTGCGCGATTTTATTGATTTTACTTATAAAAGAATGCTCCGAAATATCGTACGAAATTTACCAAAAACCTCCTTTAAAAACATATTGGACTTTCATTGCTTACTAAAAACAATGGAATAGTTGAATTACTAGATAGAAATATAGTTGTATAAATTAATTACTTACTAGGCGTTTTGTAGCGACTTCGCCTATGTAAATTAAAGCCTATCTAACTCTTGTTTGGTGTAGCTTCCTATAGATTGTAATATTTTTTTAAATCAATCCAGTAGTTTCGGAGAAAATTGATAAAATCACACACAAACATTATATATTAATTAATGGGTTGGGGTTCAGGCCCTCTACATGGATGGAATCGACTAGCAAGACTGGCCCAACACGCCCAGTGTGAATTGGCGTGATAGCCTGCAGATGCACCCAGGACCAACAACTTAATAGTTACATTTACCTATAAAAATATATTTTTGGTCACCAATCATGTGACCGGTCTTTCAAAGAGTTGCTCAACTTCCGCATCGCAGACTGAACGCGCTATCCACTGAGATCCACTGAGCCATCGAACTTCTCGTATTCTATACTTTATTAATTAAATTATAATTAGAATATTAGTACGAATACAATTTGTTTCAAAGGTTCATTGTCTGTTTCAGAAGTTACCGTACCCCAAGGCAGTCGGGTTTATAGTCACAAATGAGTTCTGCGAAAGGTTTTCCTATTATGGCATGCGAAGTAAGTTGTCAATGCTTTTGTTTACATTACTTACCCAATGCTAACTAATTACCGACAAGACTCTATGTGTCGCAAGTACAAAAATGCAAAGAATCATAATTATATTTTTTTCTCATTTGGGAAATTGACTATAGTTGAGAAGTATGGAAAGGCTTTATTAATAAATAAAAATGAGCACATTTTGACATTGAATCGATTATCTATAATGCTGTCCTTTGATTTATTGTCGTTACTTTTTGTTTTTTACTACAGTCAAAGTGATGAAACTAGTCACCAGATAAATGCTTTTCTTTCATGTCAAGGTTTCAATTGTAAAGGTGCTGATAGACTTTCGAGCATTCCCTTGTAATAGCATTCTAGTGAATGATATATTGATCATAACATTGTTTATATATATATATTATTATAAAAAAGTCATCAGTCAGTATGTCGACTAATTATGACAAGTGGCTAACGTCAAGAGTCTGTAACATTAAATACCTACTCTATTCGATATAAAACTTCAAGCTGCATCTATTGGTAAAATCCTTGTAAAAATTGTCAGTTCTCCGGTTTGTGACAAGTCCGAATGCTCAAATATATCAGTATCTATAACAAACTGCGTTAGATGATTGCTTATTACGTCAAATGCTACAAACGAATGCCCTAGATTCCAGAAATACCTACTATAAAATAACCAATATCTGGTTTTAGCAAGTTAAGTGATATAATATACGTCTTATTATTACATAAATTATTATGAATGTATTAAAATTGTATCATATAATAATAAACAGAAATGGTTTGAATTAAATCTATATTAAAAAAATTATGTCGCCAGTATGTGTCGTACCTAGTTTAAATAACAGGTTTCCTTTTATCGGTATCAATTTGTGTCAGTTTCGCCATCAATACTATTTGTCAGAAACGATATTTACTTAAGTTTGCAATTGGGTAATGGCTGATAAAACATTGTGTATGCACTGTGTTTCTGATACATTTAGCGGGCACTCTGTAAAACTGTCTGTCTTGTTAAAAAACGAGGATTACACTTCACTTTGATCTTAGCTAAAAGGCTGAGAAGCGATAGGACTAAACTTAGTCATCATCATCATCAGCCCCTTTTACGTCCCCACTGCAGGGGCTCTGGCCTTTCTTATGGATGGTTAAGGACGATGGGCCATGACTCTCCACGCTGGCCCAATGCGGATTGGAGGGTATCAACGACTGCAAATGCAGCCGGTACCAACGGCTTAACGTGCCTTCAGAAGCACGGAGTAGCTCGAGATAATAATTTGTTGGTCACCCATCCCGTGACTGACCTTTCGAAAGTTGCTTAACGACAACGATCGCGGGCCGCGGCGCTTATCCACTACGCCACAATCCAATCTTTCCTTTTTGTTAATATATAGGAGTATAGAATTATTGGAATTGGAACTCTTATAATGAAATAAAAACTAAGAATAAGATAGACCCGATTTCAAACTTAATGATACTTATCTCAAAAGCTACTTATTCACTAAAATGCTATTAAAGTCTATTGAATGAAGTATAGTAAAGAAATTGCTATTGCAATGCCACTGTCATTAACAGAATTCGTTGTTAATAAAAAGCATTCATTTTTAAATATAATAAGCTGTCATCCTTCTTTTGTTACAGAACTATATTATATTTGTCCTTGGTGTACGCCACAGGCAGCGTGTTTATATCACTAGCAGCAATGCCACCAGTCAATTTACCACCATTGTAAGTAAAAAAAAATGATCAAGTTCAAGTCACATTCACATCTTGAGAGTTGAGTCGACTCTGTACTTCGGATTACATTTAAACTATTGAATATCAAATATTATAAAATTGTTGGCTTCTATAAGGTGTTGTAATTCGTGAGTAAACTAGGTATTTTGGGTACAATCAATATTCGGACTCGGTATTTCTTAGAAAAGGAGGGAAGTTTGTAACAAATATATAGGTGCTTCAAAGTTTCACAATACTGCTTTTGAAATGTGGTTATAATTAGAAATAAACGGAGTGGCTGCGTCCGTTTCTTGAAAATGGAAAAATACGAGTGATTTCTATTAAGAAACAGCGAACGATAAAGAAAATTCTATTTAAGTAAGGCTAATAATAAACCACGAGCAACTGAAGTATTTCAAAATCGACTTCAAAAGCTTTAATTTCGACAGTTCTTAAAAAATTAATACAAAGTGAAGCTTTTCAAATAACCCTTTAAGTTAAAAACAAATTTCTTAGCCTTGCAAGTCAATATAATACAAACTTTGTTGTTTTTCACAAACCTTTAACCTTTATTTCCAGAACATTCACGATAATAGCGTTACTTCTGATAGCGTTCGGAACGGGTGGCATAAAACCTTGCGTGTCAGCATTTGGTGGAGACCAGTTTAAGCTGCCTGAGCAGGAGAAGTACCTCGGATACTTCTTCTCCCTTTTCTACTTCTCTATTAACGCAGGCAGCCTTCTTTCGACTTTTCTTACTCCTATTCTAAGGGCAGACGTTCACTGTTTCGGCGAAAATGATTGCTACTCGCTCGCTTTTGGAGTACCTGGAATATTAATGATTATTTCTATCTGTAAGTACATGTTCACTAAATATGGTAAATTAGATTATAAAACTTTACGTTACGTATTACATACTGACTCACAAATATTTGTGTAGGTATACAAAGGTTTAAAATAACAAACAAAGCCACTTACATTTTTCAAAAAATCAATGATATTGAACTTCGTCTCATAACCTATTTTTTAATAATGAAAATAAATCAATATTCATCTAACTTTAAAGCCAAGTCAGATGTAATTTTACACTAAAACGAGGTTTAATGAAGGGTAACATGGGAGTAATATTTACTCCTAGAAGGTTTGCTTGCTTAGTCTTCGTCGTCTTCCCCATAGTGTGGGGCGTCGTTGGATAGGTCTTTCAAAGACATTAGGGGTATATATATATAATATATATATATATAGATAGATAATATAATATAGGTAGATAATGAATTCAACTTGGATTATGAATTCAAATGTTATTCGTTCACAACAGTAGCTTGTGAACCCTTTTAACTTATTTATAATCTAATTGCTTTAAATAGGATTACAGTGACACGATTTTCCGGATAGTATTGCAAGTCAATGAACTTATACCTATTTAGCTACATTTTATATAGCATTCCAATGGATACCATATTGCCAAATAAATTACGATAACATTAAAATACACACACATATAGCTAAAATAAATACACGTTTAAGTATAAAATTGACTCAACATGTCACCGAAAAAAAAATCTAGTCAAGGTTTATTATTTTATTATACCTAAAAAATCTTCAATTGAGTTCTTAAATATCATAAATCAACTAAACGGCAATTGCTTTATTTCTCAATGCATTTTATTAAATATTCTGATAGCCATCCTATGAAAACGCCTTGCAACGCTTTAGATATGGAATTGTTTAAGAAGTATTCAAATATAATAAAAAAAAAAACAAATATTGTTAGACATTAAGTTTAGAAAAACCCGGAGTTTTATATCTTTTTTTTTCAGTACAAGATTTCCCGCCGAAAATATAAGAACGATTGACATAGTTTTCCTTTTAAATTCACAATGTCTAGATTGAATAAATGATACGGAATTTGTTCAAATAAGGTTTAAAATAAAATTAAGATATAAATATTGAAGCAAAATTGAACTTAGAGAACCAATATACATACACTTTACTTTTTATGGTTGATCCAGAGGTAAACTTAATTCAGATTTAGATATTTATTAAGTCCTTACTTTTACAGAACATTTGGAAGTTAAGACTTCTTGCAACGCTTTAGGTATCCGGCAAAAGAGATTTTATTAAGTGATATGCAAAATAACTTATATTATTAGATATTCACAAAATCTATCACTAATTACACTCAAATTTGTATTTTCAGTATTTTTCTTGGCCGGTAAACGAATGTATATCATCAAGAATCCTTCTGGAAATATCTTCGGCAGAGTTTCCTCTTGCATTGGAGTAAGTTTATGATATGACTAAGTTTCCGCGGGCATGTATTATACATAATAATATTAATTGTTGAAATACACATTATTGTATAATTTAAAAAATACCAGCGTACAGACTGCAGGAAACGACTTTGTTTTTTTTATAGATATGATATGATATATAGATAAACCAGCGGTTATATAGTTTTCTTGTTCGATCGGGTTAACATTGCCACATACAAAAAATGTAACTTGAAAAGATAATGTTGAATGTAATATTAAAAAACTAGGAACGGTGCCATTAAAATATATATCTGTGAGACATGGAAAACATTTTTTTAATTCTCGTGTGAGTTTTCTTCATACGAACGTTGATATACGATTGTTATAAATTTGGTTAAAAGTAACACCTTAGACAGTAATATTAATGAAATTGGAATTTTGATACAGAATTGGTACTAAATCTTAGTTATTATAAATCAAAAAGTTTCTGTTTTTTTAATTTTTATTTTAAAATGTCTGTATATTAAATATGTACTAATATTTTAAAGAGGAAAGATTTGACTGATTGTTTGTATGTATCTTTGTTTATTTTTCTCGCATAAGCTCCGAAAATACTGGACTCATTTTAAAAATTCTTTCACCTACGGGTAACTATCATCGGGGTTGACTTAGGCCCCTTCGGGGGTGGGGCCACAGCAGGAGTCCCACATCACCCGTGGAGCCCGCGCAGGGTGAAGCGGGTATGCGTAACGCATTTCTCAGCGTCAAAAAAAAAAAAAAAAAAAAAAAAAATGCTTTAATTTACGCGTACGAAATCGCGGGAACACAAGCTAGAATTAAATATAAAAAAGTTTTATTATTCACATAGTAAACAATTGTTATCAGTGCAGGTATAGTTTTTCTATGGTGTATTTTTTACGGATAAAATCATATTTATTATTCCTTATTTTCAATAGTAATAAAAAAAAAAAATACGTGAATAAGAGAGAAAAATTGCTATTTGCAAATGTAATTTTAGGCACTGACTAAACATTTTTCACAAAATTATAATGATATTATATCAATTTTTTTTTATTTGCTTACAGCGTGGTGTTGTAAAATCAATCAAAAGCAAAGAGAAAAGGGAGCACTGGTTGGATCATGCGGATGACAAATACGAGAAAACTCTCATAGAAGATATAAAGGGTCTACTGAGGGTGTTAGTACTTTATATACCATTACCAGTATTTTGGGCCCTGTTTGACCAGCAAGTAAGTTAAATGCCGTTGGTAATAAAATGTCATAAAATTATAACAATGAAATCGACACCTACATCAAAGGCTATTATAATTCTAAGTGATTTTGCACACACACACAGTAGCAAAGAACACATTTGTATGCATTTGGCTATTAATTTAGTATGTGAAATGCAGTTCTAACGAATATAGTCACTAGTCACTACTATTACGAGTAATGCTTCAGTCACATTTGTCCCGCACCGCATGACGTCACGGTAATATAGGTACTAATTTTCATATAATTGCCCAACACACACGATGGGGCTGTCAAATCACTTCCAGACTATAAAATTTATATGAACCCAACAGTAATTATAGATGGAAGTGCTGCTTAATTAACTGACAAGTAATTTGGATACACAGCTATAAGTGTTTGGAGCAATAAACAAAGAAAAAACTTTTAACTCTGAATGAACAAAGAAAAACAAACAAAGAAAAACTTTTAAATCTGAATGAACTTCAGATTCATTCGAGCAACATAAATAACGTACATCCTTTAAATAGTTAGTTTAAAATCAGATATGAATTCGACCTCAACGTAATCTTTTTGCTAAATTTATTTATATTTATTTAATATTTTAAAAGACACTTGGAGACATTGAATATTCTTGTGCCAGGGTTCAAGATGGACTTTCCAGGCTGACAGGATGAGACAAGACATCGGCAGTTGGACCCTGAAGGCCGATCAAATGCAAGTTTTGAATCCACTGCTTATTCTTCTTTTCATCCCTATATTCGAAGTGGTGAGTAATATAGTACTATGTGTAGGTAGAAATACGTCTATTAATATGGTAGCATTTGAATAATTGATGTACATACAAAATTTTATCTATATATTCTACAAGTTAAATGAAAACATATTTCGTTATATCTAGTTCCGTTTAATATTTCTGGAATAAAACAGCGAATCTTATAACTAATAGATTAAAGTTAAGATTCTATTACCTAAAGTGGTGCCCATTAGCGTTATTGTAATAGTGATAGTTTTGCTATCTATATTCGACCTTGAGATCGCGACAATTTTCAAAATGCGCTGTGATTATTCCACGACTTTTAGTGAATCGTATTACCACGGATGCGTATAAATGAATAAGGGTCACTGGTATTATTAAGGTACTTATACTTACGGCGATCCTTCAAATGGGTTAAGAACCACTGGGGGCCAATTCTACTAAATAAATTTTGTTTAAATCCAATCGAAAACGGATCGAAACCGAACGAAGAAACTACAATTTTTAATGGTTTTCCTATTCTACAAAGTGACATACGATACAATTACAGTTCTATTTTAGCTGGAAATTTTAGTAGAATTGGCCCCCTGACATGTAATATCAAATGTTTTTTAGGAAGGATTCAGTATCACGATATCATCAATTTTATTACTTCCAAGAAATCATTCATTAAATAAGGTGGTCTACGCATGGTTATAAAACCAATTAGTCTTATTATAAAACGAGGACTAATTTTAGTTGCTGGTTTAAACCATTATGCAACCAAATTATGTCAACACTTTTCAATTTGACGTTTTCTCTTCTGTCCTTGTAAACTTTAGAAATAATAAGATGATTATGTTTCGAGCTCCTTCATGATTCAGTGGGTTCTTTTCGCCGTCGTCGCTGTTGTATCTGATGTCATTAATATCCTTAATTAGACTAGGACACGTGATAGGTTATCTTCCGTTTTCCTTGATTTTCTGTCCATTAGGTTATTTTCTAGTCTCTATAGATGACGCATTCTACTATTTAATTTCTCTTTTCTTAATTTTTTTTTCATTTATTTTATTATTGTATCCTGTATTATTGTATCCACAAAAAAGTTTACATTTTTAATTTTCACAACTTTGTAATAAACCACTGAGGTTCGTCTACTATATCAATATTTCGCATTAAGCAACAAATAGTTTACAATTTACATACATACTTGTTCAATAATATTCTATTTATATTTAATGTTAAACATTTATTTAAGTATAAAAAACTTTTTATTTCAGGCTGTGTACCCCTTCCTTTATTGGTGTAAATTAATAAGAAAACCATTACACAAAATGATTTGGGGTGGCATACTAGCTGCCTGTGCTTTTGTCATTTCTGGAATTGTAGAACTCAGCTTGCTGGTAAGATTTTACTAAGATGATTATTTTAGTAAAGTTTTTTGACCTTTGGATCTGTAGCAATTTTTACTCACTAAAATTATAAAATCTAAATTATATAATATTTTTACTTAAGAATCACGTACTTTATTTTATATTTTCTTCCACATGCCACAGATATTCACTGCTATTCTGTTAAAAAAACACCTTCGAACTCTAATTCGAACACAGCGTTGTATATATATGTCCAATTAAATAAAACCTTTTTGAAAAGTTAATAAGGTTTTGTTTCATTGAAACTATGACGCGCCCGCGTTTTTTGATACAAACTGAAGCCAAGGAACTTTTCATAGGAATCAATTAAAGGTTAATTTAGTCATTTACAATCACATTATTTTTATGTACATGTTTCTATTCCAGCCGACATATGGTACTCCGGTTGTCGCAGGGTTAGCGCAACTCAGAATGTATAACGGATTTAATTGCAACTTCACTTTGAATGTTCCACATTTACACGGTAATGAAACTGGTGGGACCATTTTACCTCTTTCAGTGTATGAACACCTAAACATAGAAACCGACGACTTCCTAGACTTGCCATATAGTTTACAGAGTCTAGGAACCGGCGATTGCGCCGACATAGCCTACAATGGTCACTTGCATCTGAAGGAGAAAATAGCGAATTCTTTCTTCGTTTCTAGAACTGAAGTTTTTAATTTTACGGACAATAACAATAAGGCCATCGACAGTGTTAATGTCAGGTAAATAAATGTTAAACAAACTTCTTTATAAAAACTACATCATAATATTAATAGATAAATTGTGCCTTTTCCGTTTCGGTCTCAGTTGCCAGTATAAGTAAATTATCAAATTTATCTTACCTTTGTTACAACAACTACATACAAGTAAACCGATAGTTTAATTAAGTTTTGGAATTATGAGACTATATTCCTTGTGATTATAGGTGACATTTTCGTTTTATTAATTACAGTCAAGTTATATAAAAATATTGTGTTTAATGTATATGTTAGAGCAATAAGGCTCTTTACATTAAAATTAATTATTTATTTGAATTTGTCATTTAAAAGTCAATAACGGTATTGTTATACCATTATTGATTCTTAGGTTTATAACTCGTCGTGTACGTTGCTTGCAAAACTATTATTTGCATAATACGACGCATAAATATGTTCCCAAAATAAGAAAGATCTTTCTTCTGATTTCGTATCAATTAATTTTGTCACTTTGCCTAGTTGCAAAATGTTCTTTTCATTTAGAGTCATCGGCGGCCATGTTCCATTGAGCGTGGGCTTACCACTTCTTATGAAATTGACCCACATTTCTGTTATTTCATACATGAATTTCCTATCTCGGTTATTTGGGTCATTGTTTAATTTAATATATTGATCCCCCATCGGTTGACATTTTAATATGTAACATATTTCATCACCATTAGATGCACCTTTTACTTTCAAGTTTACTCCAGCTAGTGATGTAGCTTTAACTGTGTTGAATCCACCGAGATAATTAAACTTGTATACATACATTTTTGAGTCTGTCTTAGCTACATGTCTCTTGATAAACTTCCATATAGGATATTTTTTCAAGTCCGTTGTATAACGAAGAAAATTATCGATAGATTTCTCAGAGATGCCGTCTTTGAAATAGTAATGTTTTATTTTATTTGCAACGTTTTTATACGCTTCTGTTGTATAATCGTGATTGTGACCATCAGAAAAAGGTACCATGAATTTAAAAAAAGGTTTAAAATAATTCAGATAACGTGGGTTATGTAAAAAAGGTATTGCTTCCGAAATACTCTCTGCACTGTTGAATCCAATCATAATACTTTTAGTTATATTAAACTTTTCCGTAGTATTGTAGAATTCATCAGGAGTGATCGTTAGAAAGGAATCGTTAGACAGTTTGTCTACTGTCGGAGTAAAAGGAATAATTGGCCGCTGAAAATTCGCTATCTCTTTATTGTTGTAAATCTTCTCTGATGCTAGTATTATATCTTTAGTGGGCGCTGTTAAAATATCTTCATAGCCGCTCTTTCGAAGATTATTATTTAATCTCTCTCTTTCTACTTTAGAATTTCCTCGAAATAAAGATGGAGTAAAAATGCCACCACTTTGTAATATCATCTTCGAGAACATATTTTTATGTTTAGTCATTAATAATAATGTTAGGAAAGTGGCCCCCGAATCATTTCCCATAACAGTAATTCTCTTTCTATCCCCTCCAAACTGTTTAATATTTTTTCTTACCCATTTCAGTGCCATTACGATATCTTTTAAGCCCATGTTTCCGTCAGTATTAGAATCGTTGGCTTTATAAAAACCAAATACTCCAACTCTGTGTGTTACTGTAACAAAGACAATGTTTCTCTCTAAAAACGAATCACCACCGAACATGTGGCTCAAACTAGTTGTGAATCCATAACCATGTATCCAGACTGCTACTGGTTGTAGATCTCTATTTTCTTCCTTTGGTATATGTGCTGAGTAAATATTTAAAGAAAGGCAATCTTCGTTTCCGAATAGAGTGTTTTTATGCACTATGTGAGATTGCGCGCAAGCTCCATGATACTCAACGGTAGCATCAAAAGGTTCACTCCACTTTTTCACTGGTTTCGGATCTTTAAATCTTAATTTTCCCTCAGGCTTTTCAGCGTATGGAATGCCATAGAAAGCATAGTAGAGCCTACCATTACCCACAGTTTCCTCTCTTATACCAATTATTCTGCCTTGTTTTACTTTAACTTCCAGTAAATATGAACTTATTTCTGTAAAAAGAGTTAAAATATATAATATACACATTAATAACAACATTACTCATTTTCTAAGAACGTTTATAAGCAAAAGGTGTTAACATACTCTTCGTATATTTGCTACTTAGTAACCTAACGTATTGATGCAATAAATACCATTCATCTGTAACATGTTTTGTGATTCGGAATTAAAAAACACAGTGTAATAAATTTCATCAAGTTTTATATGCTAGTTTGTTTTTTTTTACCCATACACTTGCGTTCACATCAGTTAAAAGACTACCTAAACATTTGTTTTTTTCAAACACGAGGATAACCGTTGGGGCTGCTATTTGTACGTCCGTCAGTTATAAACTATTATGTTCCAATATAAATTAATGTATCTATATTATTGTATATTCTTGAGCTTTTAATTATAATAAATTAAAAACCTTTTGCCTCTGCAGTTCAAATTTTCTACAGTGCAAAGGACAATGTCCAGCCCCCATACATTTTTCGCCTAAGAACCTCTAAGCATGTACTATCACTTTTCGTGTTCTAAAGTATCTATATTTACGTCTAAATACATGTTTAAGTAACGGACACTTCTAAGAAATGTATAAATCAAGAAATATATTTTGGATTTGAGATTATAACTTTAACAATTGTAGCGTGCGGTTAGATTCTTTTTAATGTTTGTTTTACTTGCTTTTTCTAGGAAAATGTATGTCTACTTTGCTTTAAATGTTGATTGTTGTTGTTTGCTTTAAAAGGTTCTGTAGGTTCTGTATCGGGAGCATGTACTTACCAATCTTGGAGCAACCCAGTGTTGTATACACTGAAGGATCTGCTCATCTTCTAATACCATGCAACCAGAAGCTGAACCGCAATTAACACAAAATACTTCAACACACCCAGATTCCATGTTAATGTCCGTTAAATAAATGCCAAGTCGTCGTCTATAGTAGGTCGGTATGCCGTAAATCACTGCCGGAGGACGATATTATAAGACGAAATCAGTCCTTAGTTCAAGCCAAGTCGTTATTTTATAACTAATATTCACAAGACACAAGAAATCGTACAAACAAACTCAAGCGACGTAAACACAACGCGAGTATGAAAGCGATTGTCAAACAAAACTTCAAAAGTTCAATATTGTCAAACGTATGTAAAAGAGCGCTTCCAGCCGCTTAAAAATCTACGAACGTTTTGAGTCTCGTTTTAATGTCAAGCGCTTTAAGTGTTCATTAGTTGATTATACATCAAATTGTGCATAGATCCTGATTTGTCAACTTATTAAAATATGGTGGCAGCGTTTATTGAAGTTTATCAAATGTATTGATATTACTTTTTAAAGTAATTACAAAAATGGGCAGTGTCCGTTTGATTTTAAAAGCTGATATATTAATCATAAAATATGATAAGAATTATGATATACAAGATATTCTTAGAGGTTCATAGGCTAATATGGACATTGTCCTTTGTAATTTATTGATTGTCGTTTCAGATTTTTATCAAACGTGAATAAAATTGCTCAAATAAAATTAGTGGAGACACAAAAGAACAGAACAAAATTGACTTTGAATAGCGATGATATCACACAGAAGTCTATTGATGCGGGAACTTATGATATTGTCGTCGACGGACAGACTATACTGGCGGCCACCACTCTCAGAGTGGGTGCGGTCTACACTATCAATGTATATCAAGATAACAATGGAACATATGTAAGTAATCTTACACTTCCTTCCTACGAATTATATCTATACGTTTCATAGAATATGTAACGTTTAAAGTTGCAATGGCTTTCGGAAGAAATGACGATTTGAATGATCTAATAACATAAAAGGAACTTAGCTGAACCAATACGATGGATTGTAGTTACCATTCAACTTTTTCGTTTCACATTTTACGAAATAGTTTTCAAAGCAAATTTTCCGATTAATATCAAATAATGATATCTATCGTTCATTCGATATCTTTCAATAAAACTTCGCGATCGCAATCTCTATACTCCATTCATTATAGCATTAGACTGAAGTTAAATAAGGTTCTTTTTATGGTATACTTTGTGACAAAATATCAATAATCATGTAACTTTTAAGACTGACGGCTAATTTGCTACATATCCACTTAAATACCAGCTGCTATACTTAACTGTTGTCATTCAAGCTATCTATTAAACAAATTTATGACCATATGACTAGCTTAAATGATTTAATAACTACATATTACTATAAAAAGTGTTCGTCGTAAAGAACCTCAAGAAGCAGGGTTGGATAGTTGCGGCACGATTCTCATGTCACTATAATTCTACCAAATTTAAAAACGTTGCCTAACCCCTTACAAACGTTTCGGTGGTAGAGCTTTTTAATTTTGTCAGACTATTATTTATTCATAATTGTTAAAATCGTAATCTGGGATTGTCATCCATTGTGAATGCTACTGCCTTTCTTGTTGTTTTCCGTAATGTTATTGTTTTATTTTGTTTTTGTTGTTAAGTTTTAGTAAATATGGACGATGCCGGTGCAGGCCCAAGCGGCCTACAAAAATTACGCTCTAAGCCCCCATACCTACCCTCAAACTTTGACATTTCAGGGAGTTTTTCCAATGTCTTCATCAATAGTCTAACTAATTACACTTACAATTAGAATTTATCAAAACACACAGATAGTTTCAGTTTTAGTTCCATGTTGGCTTGGGACTAAAAGATGAATTTATAAAATGCTGGCCTCATCTCAACCCCGAGGTATCAGAAAAAAATAGAAAATTGCCCAGCTCTTTCAGACTACCTAACGTTCAAAGTTTCAACAAAACTAATATATATTTTTTTTATTTATCTTTGAAATAAAATGTTCTGCACTGCTGCTTCTATGATCCTCTTTTTTCTAATGTTATAGTGAATGAAGTATAGCATATGTCAGATAGTTGTATCGTGAAGTTCGTGAATATCTTTCCAATGTCAAACTGAGATAAATTTAAAATTAGATCCTGGGTCGATTTTATAAATAATTACACCTACGAAAAGCTGCACTATACGCGGGTGACGTAGGTTATAATTTAGGTGGATGCAATCGAGGGACAAAATTTCACTCATTTCTAAAGGGTAGAGTAGTAAGTTGCATTTCTAAAACTCATAAAATGAATGAATGAATGCATTCGTTGATAAAACTTATACCACATTACACCGAAAACATGACTTAGAACATACACAAACTCTTTCTTATAAGTTCATTTGACATCTATTGTTGTTAAATTATATAGTTTTTGTTGTTAAAATTGGCGCTTACGGTATATTTGACATGTATTACAGATGGCGAATCCTTTGATGATAACTCCTTGGAACTCCGTCCACATACTTTGGTTGGTGCCTCAATACATAGTGATGACTATGGGCGAGGTGATGTTTTCCGTCACCGGTCTAGAGTTCTCCTTCACCCAAGCGCCAGCCAGCATGAAGTCCGTCCTGCAGTCTATATGGTTACTCACTGTGGCGTTCGGAAATCTTATCGTCGTACTCATTGTGGAAGGAAACTTTTTAGATGCTCAGGTACTATTAACGACTTCACATATGAAGTACATCCAGAAAGCGCGTTAGAGGTTCTATCAAATAAAACTATTATTACTTTTTGAAATTTAAAAGGTTTTATTTGATTAAACTACTTATGTTGTGACAGCACTGTATTTTTAACAGAATTGCACTACTATACACAACTGTTCTTGATTTTGGTTATACTAATAATATTATATAAAGGTATTGTACTAATAAGCTGAAGAGATGGTTTGTTTGTTTGGTTGAAAGCGGTAATCTCAGAAACTACTGGTTCCAGTTGAAAAAATATTTTTGTGGTGCTATGACTAAGAAAAAGAGAGCAATCAATTAATGCTGCAAAAACGAGAAAACCATGCGATCGAAACCACTGGCAAAGCTGCTGGCGAAAAACTAGTTCCTGTGTAATATTAACTATCATGGTTTAAATATGAAATTATAACAAAATCTTCGCAAAACTTGTGCACTGAATCAAAAGTTACACTGTATTAATTGCTTTGTTTCAGTGGAAAGAGTTCTTCCTTTTCGCGGGTCTGATGTTAGTAGACATGTTGATATTCACCGCTATGGCGTTCCGTTACAAATACGTGGAGCTCAAGTCCAGCACCGAGGACTTACAGGTGGAAGAGATCAGACTGCCGGAGAAGATGAGCCAGAGAGACGATTGATTTTATCTAGCGAACAATTAAACTATTTTGTTACAAATACAACGGATGATTTCATTTAATCAAACATATACATTTTCTTTCAATATGAGTATTCTTTATTGAGAAATCTGGAATTTATGACAAAAGAAACGTTATAAAAGGATGATAATCATTGTTCAAAATACTACATTATCTAAACTTTAATGAAATAATAATGCCACCAATGGATGGATTTTTGACATGCAAATGGTGCGAAATTATGTTAATTATATTGTCAGTCATTAATTCAGTGTCATATTCATATATTGGATAGATAAAATTTTATATTTAATCTGTTTATTCAATTTGATTTGATTTTATCCAATTGCACTGTGTGGAGGCAAGTTGAAGCCAATGAATGTCAAGTCGTCCATCCTAGCGATCGACAAGCTGAATCAACAGATTCAAAGCGTTGAATTATATTCAGTGATATCGTGGGCTTCGGTCCGGACGCCATAATTGTCATACGTACAGAACACAGAAATTCAAATACAGTTATGTATTGTGTATATGCATAGTTCTAGTTGTATTCTAGGATTCTACCCATTTATTGTATATGATAAATTTTGCATGTACCTAATGATTTTATGTAATTTATGTGTCTTGTTTTAATTCTTGTTTCTTTAGTTCTTTAACAACAACATGCTGATCTTATAAGTTAACTAACTATTTTTCCGTTATAGCCCATGTCACCCGCATGTTATGAATCCTTCGTTAGGTGAAACAATTTTCACAATCAAACACACAAATTTGAACTCTTTATAAAGTAAATATTTAATCGCAAAAAATGTAATATTTAAGTAAATGTAAGTTACAGATAAAATATACTCATCACAAAACTAATCAACGGAACCCAGGAGATTCTAAATTATTTGCGTAAGTAACGCAAACATTGTAAAAAGTGGCTCTTACAAAACAATCTGTTTAGTTAAATGGCGTGAACACATTTGACAATTGGTCGCGGGCAATTTGTGTGTTATTCCCATAGTCGGCGAAGTCCGGACTTGTCTCTACTGAGTGGTTAACCCTCGCTCAGTCTGCCGCTAAACAGGGGGTAAATGGTTGTCAAACTTTCCTATTATATGGTACGAATGGATTATTTAAGAACATATAAAATAATTCAATAAAAACTGAATCAACTTAATTTATTAGTAAAAGATAGAAGCATCCATACTTCTGACGTCATTCATTAGTTACTCTCATGAGAATAACATTACACATGTCGCCTAAAACGTTTACGACAACTACTTACTTAGTAATGATATATATCAAATTACTAATATAATAATCAGTTAATAGAATGCATCTATGAAATACATAATAGATGTATTTTATTTTTGTTTTATGTATTTTATTGTAACGATTGTAATATCTTAAACTAGACATAACTATTTTTATAAATTATAATTGTTAGAATTCTCCAATTCTGACGCCTATGTAAGTACACAATTTGAATGGCAGCGCAAACAGGTTCTTCCTTAATGTAGAGGAATATACTCTTGAATTTAAAGCAAAAATAATAAAACTAATAAAAATAAGTTATATTAGGTATTTATATAGAAAAAATAAAAATTACAATCACAATTAGAATAGAATAGAATTATAGCCATTAGCAGAAGCATAAACACTCACATGAATTATTATTTTAATAATGGTTGTAATTCATAACGTATTTGCACAAACTAGACCTAATTTAGATTGAATCCTTGCTACAACTTTTTAATTCTGTAAATAACAAAAATATTAAACTTTTGTAGTACCTCATGTATTAGAGTGCGTGCACTTACATCTATTTAATTAGGCAAATACTCACTTTATGTTGTACAACAAGAATATAACATTGAAAGAATATAAAATATAAAATAACATAAATAATAATTATTATCATTTAGAAAACATTTCGGAAATAAAATATTTTCTTTTATTTTTTGTAAGTTTCATGAAAAATGTTATCGTAGTCAATATTTGCAAATATTTAGCTACCAGCATGTTTGAGAGCCATGCGTTCATAACAAATCCATTGCCTGGGTCTGCGAACGACTTGTTAATAATTGCGTGTAATAAATGCTTACACACAACAAACAGATACGGGTAGGGGTCGCCATCAAAAGGACCGATTTAGTTTCCGACCTATTGAAATCGGAACTATTGTAAAGACGATGTATTTAGAATACGCCACTTGTAGTACATTTGTCTGATAGTTTCCTTTGTTTTTATTTGATAAAATAAGATGGATAAACGGATTTTATAAAGACTATAGTTTTTATCGATTTTAGGGCTCCGTACCCAAAGGTAAAACGGGATCCTATTATTAGACTTCGCTGTCCGTCCGTCCGTCCGTCTGTCATCAGGCTGTATCTCATTAACCGTGATAGTTAGATAGTTTTCACAGATGATGTATTTCTTTTGTCGCTATAACAACAAATACTAATAAATCGAATAAACTAAATATTTAAGGAGCCTCCCAAACAACAAACGTCATATTTCGTGGAAAATAATAAGGAATCCTTCATGTGAAAGTCCGATTCGCACTTAGCCGGTTTTTGAATGGTCCTATTATACTATTCTATTTTAATAAAGAACATGAGATGATACGAACGACGTGTATAAACATTTTATCTTAAAAACCTTTCTTTATCATTAAAAATATTAACAAAAATAAAATAAAACTCTAAGTTCTGAAAAGGAATCTACATTGAGGTGACAAATTCAATAACAGCTATTACAAGCAGTTCACGACACAGATTAATTAAGTGCAGTCAGAAAAACAGTTTTGAAGGAGGCGTCGGTTATGTTCCAGACACTTTATGCGGCGCGTGTCGCACGCGTGCCCTGCCCCGGAGCACGTCGCTGCGACACGCGACCACGACAAAAGACTGGACCCCAAGCCGCCGCAACAAACTCAACCGCGAAACAAGCAAATCCAACACACACACTCAAAACCCTTCACGTACATCAAATCCCAATTCATTGCGTCTCGTCGAACCTCAGAACATATCCCTTTTATGCCCTTTCCGTCGGCCTGCGCTTGTGTGCGTCTCTTCTTTCCCGCACAATTTTACGGAGATAGCACACTTCACAATTCCATTTCCACCACGTGCACCCTCTCGCAGGATAAGCTCTGGCGAACATATGCGTACAAATAAATAAATTAAGTTAAACCAATAGCGGTTTGAAGTTAATCGCTCTGGTTTGTTCTGGATTTAATTTAAGACTCATGTGAAATGCAAAGTTCATTATGCTTCATTGAATTTTAAATTGTACAACCTATTTTTTACGGTTTTATTAGTTAATCTATTCTATATTAATATTATAAATACAAACGGTTTGTTTGTTTGCATTGAACAGGCTCCGAAACTACTAGACTTACTTATTTTATTTTAAAAATTCTTGCACCTGCGGGAATCTGTATATGCTTTATATAATACGCAGGTGACAAAGGTTATAATTTTTGCGGGTGAAGTCGATGAGAAACAGCTACATTCGTATAATATACTAAAGTTCTACATATCCTCTTATATAAGAGGTTGAGCTCAAGTGTTCATATTTCGCCAGAAAAACCTAATCTTTTCTATCACATATAATCTACGGAAGGACGAGGCTTAAAGATTTCGGAGTAAGTAGTTCCGTTGGGGTGAAAGCAGAATTTTTGGGTGAAAGCAGAACCGTTGATAAACACAAAAGTTGAACGATTTAGGGGGCGTCCATAAATTACGTGAGATGTTTATTGGAGAGAGGGGGGGTCTCGGCAAATATCACGCATTTTTTTTTCTGATTGAAACAAAAAATATATACTATTTTGGTCCATTTAATCCAGATTGTAAATGCTTAAGATTTAATCTTAAGCGTAATCGTATACGATTAAGATCATTCACTAATTCGTTCGAAAGAAAATAATTTCATTCATACTTCGACGCTATACATCTACTGAATGTCAAACCACCATATTTGTAGGGTTCGAACGATACTTTCGATACCGAGTAGGTATCGATACTTTCAAAAGCGATACTCGATACTGAGTACTCGATACTACAACAAGGCAAATACTCATCAAATTGCATTTTGAAAAATCTCACGTGAGATTGGGGGATGGGGGAGGGGGTTGAATAAAATCTCACAACATCTCACCAGGGGGGAAGGGAGGGACAGAAAATTTAAAAAACACCTCACGTAATTTATGGACGCCCCCTTACCTAGGTATGAAAACGTAAGAGGCCTGAAAATGTAAATATAGAATAACGTGAGCTTTGAAATATGATAGTTGACGATGCGTAAAGAAGATAATATAAGAAGATCTTCTACGTTTGAACTAAGAAGTAAAATCAACTGCTTATAGGCAAAAACCTAGTGCTAGTCAGACTCGCATACTATGGCTACCTTAGATTATCCATAAAAAATAAATAATTTAAATTTAAAAAAAAATCCCGACTGCGTAAAAACGAATTACAAAAATACATGAAAAAATTAACTTAAATGAAAACTAAAAAGAAAGAAACAAGCCCAGTAATTTAGAATTCTGTTATTTATTTTTATTTTACTTTTTGTTACGATTCGTTGACTTCGGTATAAGATGGTAAAGTTCAATCTAGTCATTTCATCGAGGGAGTTAATATCGTGGGGATTATTAAGCAACTTGCGGTGGTCTAAACTACTGATGATTATAGTCCCTCTACAGACCTAACTCGGCTCAAAGCATATGCTTAACCTATAGCAAAAAATTTTTTATTTATTTATTATTACCAAAAATATTTGTTCTTCATGCTTATTCACTGTTTTTTTTTATTTTTATCGTTTATACTTTAAATAAAAACACAAATCAATAAGTAAGAAAATTAGCGAGAATGATTGTTTTGTTAAACAACTTTAAATCGTTATATATCCGAAACTATTATTTAAAATGAAAAATGATAAAAGGAACCTAAAGATGATTTTAAAATACCTATTCAACGACACGCCACTTGTCATAGTTCATCTTTTTTTTATTTTTTCATT